ATTATTTGTACATGTCAATTTTCTATATATACAATGTCTAAACTTTTAGTCAAGCCATGTAAATTTTAGATATTCCCATAAGTAACACGAAATATTAAACCTGATATTGTACGTGAATATAAGTAACCAAATAAATATTTGTTAAACCGACGCTTCCGTTGGTTATCACCATCTTGCTGAGGGGATATAAACGATCTCATGTCAAAGTGGTGGCCTGTGGGTCCATAAGACTTTAGCTTGTACSAGTTACTAAGCTACAGTTGGTGAAAACTTGGTTGGTACWTGGTATCGAAAGTCCARTTCAACCTTTTTTGTTTAAACATTTGAAGATATACCAAATTTTCGACAACAAACATAAAATATTGCAAACAACAACAACATACAACAGCTTATTGCAAACAACGATTGACATCACTACTTACAACAAGAAGCACAAAGAGCTGCTTATTGGAATATCGATGGRCACAAAGGCATGACTTTGATAACWCCACAAAGTGCAACATCGATGGATGTTATGCACTGAAACTGAAACTTTCGTAAGCACGCAGATCCTAATAAAACAACTAAATTTATTACATTACGCCTTTCCGTACTTTGCCTTGAAGAACCCAAGCAGATGTTCTCTTGGAGGTAAGATTTCCTTGACAGCTGGACTGTTGGCAAAGTTATCAGCCCATTCGGTTATTTTYGGAAACTTGTCTTCCTTGACCAACTTTATTCCAGCTGCTTCTTCGATTATTCCAAGCCAATACGCCATGAAATCGGCAGCRATATCAACCAGTCCAATGTTGTCACCTCCGAAGAACTTCTTACCTTTGACCGCGAGTTCGTTTTCTAGGATTTGAAGTTGCTCAGAAGCTTCTGCAATGGCCTGCTCGTCTCCATTGCTGCTAAGAGCCTTGAATATTGCAGGAATAAACTGAACAAATCATATTATCGAAATCAGTCCTCGTTTAGAAAAAATAATTGGGCAGATCCTCTTTCGCGCACCAAACTTTCCTCGGTTATGTACATTAATATTAAACGCTTGGTTTACATTTTCAATATTATAACTCGATTCAAAGGGATTCAAACAATAGTGGACCACGTATATGTTAAACAAACCACCCTTATCAATTCTTCATTCACAAGTCACATATGTCAAACTCAATCTTTTTTACATATTCAATAWATCAATATGTCACCCTAAGATTTGTTTCACAAAAGCATCAAGTATAGCGGGTTGGATATCCAGGTTAATCAAAAAAAGTCTTCCAAACCCATTTTCAATGAGCAAATAAAAAGATCCGGGCTGAAACAAATCGTGTCCGGCCAGGCTTTTGGGTTGAAAAAGAGCACGACTGGGGTTTTTCAAGCCAGGCTTTTTGGGCTTAACCAGAATTTAACAGGGCTTTGACCGGACTTAAGATCGTGTCTGTCCCCAAAATTTCGGCTTGATCAGGCTTTTGAGGCTGAGTGGACTGRATTTCAAGCTCATCAGTCCCAGGCTTTTTCAGGCCGGACTCGAGCCTGGATCAGGGTTCAGGGTTGTGCMGCTTGTGCTTCTCCACCCATAGAATAATAGGTAATTAGAAAGTATTTAAGATGATATCACAGGATTAGGTGAAACATTAAAAAGTGAGCAGAAATTAACAAAGTCAAAGATGCTA